GAAAAAGGAGGTAAAATAAAATCATGGAAGATCCCCATGTTTCAGCTGTTAACAGCTTCTTGCTCAGGTATTTTGATCTTGATCCTGTTTCAGGCCTTTGCACTGGCTGTTCTTTCTGCCTGGGATGTGTCTCTTCACAGCATCTTGCTTTTAGTACTCAAATGTCTTCTCTTGACCTCTTCATAAAATGGTGCCCCAAAGTCACCATATAGTCTATTGGACTGCTTTATTTTTTTATCTACTTCCTTGTTTGTTTATCGATTGCCTGCCCCGATCATGCAAGTTTATGAGGACTGGGACTTTGTCTGTGTTCTGTATTTCTAGTGCCTGTCCTATCATAGATGCTCGGTAAATAATTACTGAATGAATTGTTCTCCTTGAAAAGTCAGTTAATAATATTTCACAGGCTTTCTCCTACAACTAAACCAGACATCTGGATTAGTGTTTCTCCAATTTGGTTACACATACACACATACTCAAAGCCAGACATTAGGAGCTTTTTTAATGTATTTTATTTTGTGCTTTGAAAACATGGTACTTAGAAGTCTATAAGTCAGCAGAGCCCAGGATTCAAAGAAGTTAAGAACTTGTTCTCAATTAAAGAGGCCCAAGGACAGGGATTACGCATTTATCTCTAGTCAAGTCCTTCATACATTGTGCTCATTGAGCAGAGCGAGACATGCAGCCCTACTTCTTGAGTTCCATCTGCCTCTAGTCATTCCATTTGCAGAGCGTAGTGTTTCACTAGATATGGTGAAATGCTATACAAGTGTGTCTCTTAATAGTGATCCTACCAAGAGGGTGCTCTCGTTCTGCGCAACTCACAGATACAGGACTCATGGATATAATTTTCCCAATTAAACGTCTCATAGTTCTGCTCCCGTAAATATTTACAGCCTCGGAAACCCTGGACAGGGTCACTATGAGTCGCAATCAACTCCACGGCACATAATAACAACAAAGATCAAGTTATATAGGCAATCAAGATTTTAACCACGAGACTCTGCTGCCTTCAAGCCACATCTATCCCTAGGTTATTCCATAAACAACAACAACAACAACAGAACCCTCAGCTTTTATTCAATCTGCTGTCACCAGAACTTCAAGTACAGTATCTTCCAAAAGGCTACATAGAGCTTAGTATTTAATGCCTGGCTTTAAGTATGTGATTATGTGTGTATGTGTACTTTAAATATCTATTTCCTTTTATAAAAAACCCTGGTGGTGCAGTGGTTAAGCACTCAGCTGCTAACTGAAGGGTCAGTGGTTTGAATCCACCAACAACTCCACAGGAAAGAGGTATAGCAGCCTGCTTCCATAAAAATTTGTAGGCTTAGAAAGCTCTTGGGTGGTTCTACTCTGTCATCGAGAGTCTCTATGTATTGGAATCAACTCGATGGTAGTGGATTTGGTTTTGATTTAGATCTGCTTTTACAAACCAGTGTCCTCTGAACTCTGGACACAAGCTTGGCTGTTTCTTTTCCGTTTTTTGGCTTTGTTTTGTTTGTGGTATCCATGAAAGGAGAAGAGGAAGTCTGGCTAGGGTGACTAAGTTTAAGCGTGGTTACTTGTGTGATATGAGGTTGCTCATATTGTGTAATGTGTTTCTCACCATTCTCAGCCTGTCAGCTGGATTCAAACAAACAAACAAATTCTCTAAGCAACCTGAGTTCATTGGTACCTAGAAATACATTGAATATGTGCATGTGTAGTCCTGGTATGGCATGGTGATGTAAAGCACTGGACCTCAAGGTCTGTTTGAACTGTAAGGTCGGCAGTTCAAACACATCAACTGTTCCTTGGAAACGCTATATGAGGGTCACTATGATTCGGAATTGGCTATGAATTGGAATTGACTCGACAACCCTAAAACAAAAACTTACATATAATATATAAAATATATGACACTTAACAACAACAACAACA